AGAAACAATAAAGATAACAGAGAGAGGAGGAGAAACAATTTAAAGATAATGGAGAGGATGATAAACTACAGAAAATGAAAAAGGAGAAAATAAAGCTATAACGGTCAGAGGTAAAATACTGGAAAGATTAGAAAGATGAGGAGAAACCATAGGTCAAAATGTTGGTAGGAGGGAAACAAGAGAGAGAAAAGAGGAAGAAAAAATAGAAAGTAAAGAGGGGAGAAATGGGAGATAAAGATTTAAAAGAAACCATGGAAAGAGAAGAGAAAGAAGAGATGAGAGGAGGAGAAAAAGCAAAAAGTGGAAAAGGAAGGAGGCGTATTATTAAAACGGAGGAGGAGAAGCTCTGGAAAGAGAAGTAGGAGAAAGGGAGACAAAAGAATATTGGGAGAGAAAGGGAGAAGGAAAAAAGACAGAGGATGTAAAAGAAGAGACTAAAGACAATAAAGAAGAAAGAATAAAAATGATAAAGGAAATATGAAAGAAAGAAAAAACTCTAAAATTAGAGACTTTGAAATACTTAGAGTCATTTTCTTGCAATTTTCTGGAGGTGTTATTTTCTTGGTAAAGTGAGAATAGACTTTGTTTCGTTTTACATACAAATAAAGATAATAAAACAGTCTGGTCAATGCAAGCAATGTTTGTAAGCAAATCCTAAATGTCTATGGTAAGTAAAAAATATCTTTATCTACATCTGGTAATTCCTGTTTATTTATTTATAAAGATTTAGTCTACTTGCTACTGAAACTGGAAATTATTTGAAGCCATGACTTAAATAAAAATAATAACTTCACAAAAACATTTGAGCCAGTGTGCTCTCCGTCTTTCTCAAGGTGTCTGTAGATTTGGGTAAACGCCAAAGAATTTTAGACTGAATCCTTTATTCAATCTATGGGGGTAGATTGTTCTTTTTTCCACTGCCTACGTCTATGGATATTTTGTCTATACTTTTATAGTACTGAACTCATCCTGTTTTCACTGAGTTTGAGCCTATGCTACCAGGCCAAGGGATCTTCAAAGAATTTCAAACTGAATCCTTTATTCAATCAATGGGGATAGATTGTTCTTGTTCTGCTGATCATGTCTAGGATCTCTGTGTTTGAGTTTTCTGGTTTTTACATGTCTGCACATTGAGAGCGCCTGGTATTATATAGCTCTCTCAGTCCCTGTCCTACACTGGCTGTTGGCGAATACCTGGCCAGTATCATTCATATGCAAATTGTCTGCACCACCTACTCTAAATAGAAGGTCTTCTCTCAACAGCCCATTGTGGCAGGGGAGGTAACTCCTGGAGCTCACAACAAACTTGGAGTCTTTTATTGGGCTGACTCAATTCTCTGTTACAATCTCATATCTGATTCTTTTTTTTTTCTAGTACTGCACAGTTATTGTTTGCCATGTTTCCATTGAGTTTGAGTCCAGACTGTCAGATCTTGACATTTTCAGGGAATTTTAAACTGAATCCTTTAATTAATATTAATGATGGAACAGACAATTAATTTTCAGTGGTCAAGAATCTAGGGTTCAGGGAAGCATCCTTGCAGGAGTCACATCTACAAAGTAGCAGTCTGGATCGAACTTCCTTCTTATGTTAGGAATTGCACAAATACCAAATCAATTATCAGCGGCTCTATTCTCCAAAACTCAGGTAGAAGTCTATTGCAAGAGTTGTTCAGACTTTGGTCTCATTTTTTTTTTTTTTTGCTACCATTGTTACCAAAATGTTTCAGCTGACCTCTACTCTAAGTTTCCCTGGGTAGACAAAACTTAAGTAAAAGAAGTTAATCCATTAATTTTTTTACATTTGCTGTCATTTTCTTGTTTGTACCAAGAAAAAGAGTCCTTATATCTTTCCTCCTGAGGAAGGACAGAGAATATGTTGTACAGCCTCTTCATGCTGGGGAGGTCATTGGTACCAAATTGACCCTGTGTTGCATTCTTCTTTCATTAGTCTTCTTCTGGCCAGTGATAATTAGTTGTTTTGAGTCCAGAGATAAAAGACATCAACAAAGAGAATTTTAACTTAGGTAGTTTATTAACATCAACATATACATCTTCTAACTATCCAGTGGGGTGGCTCTCCCTCCACTGGGAAGACGTTTTAGGCATGAATACATCGTTTGATGGTTAAGACTCTACTCCTTGAAAACCCTTTCTCTCTCTATTGGTCTCACGCTGACTCGGCCAAGCAAAATCGACTTTCTTGTTTTGCCTTCCATCTGACCTCAAAAGTCAACCCCAGGAAGTTGGAGCAGTGATGCACTTCCTCTAAAAACTGCTTAACTATTATTTAACAAAAAGATTGGCCAATATGTATTAACAACAAAAAATATGATCAATAGTTCAAACACTTCTGAGTACATCTGTTCCCAATTTAAAATAATCAATGACTTACTGAGTCCGCTTATGTCAAGTGACTTTCTTCATCTTTATTTTTTCATATTTCTTTCTTTCATTTCTTTAACACCTCTCTGTAACTTATTCTTTCCTTCATGTTTTCCATTCATTTGATATTTATTCATAGTTTCTGATATTCTAGTCTCTAATATTTTATTCATCTGCCATATTTTATTCAATTCCCCCAATTTTGCTTGATATTTTATTCATTTTTCAAGATTGGCATATGTTTAAGCACAACCAATAATTAAAATAAACACTAAACATCTTTTTCAATATAAAAGCATAATTCCACTATTTTTAATTCAAATCTTTTTACTTCATTATTAAAATAATCATTTTCATCCATGCTTTTCATCTTCGAAATTTTCAAGTCATATTCTAAGCAATGTACCTGTGATATCATAGGTAGGACTTTAAAATATCAAAGCTTTCATTCACTTTAATGATTCCATATATAGTAAACACTAAAAGCATATACAGGAATTAAGAATAGCTGTCTGTATCTCTGAGATGAGGTATTATGATTATTTACATTATTTGGACTGTTATCCTCATCTTCATAGCCATATTCACAACATTTCCTATCTCCTGAGCTGGCCAAGAATAGGAATGAATACAATATGGGAACCAGTAATAAGGAGTACTGGAGAAAAGCAATGAATAACAACAAAAAATTGCAATATAAGCTCTGGAAAAAAATGCAACAATAATAACAAAAATTGCAATATGAGCACAGTAAAAAATGGTTGCTGAGACATTAGGTTTATAAGTCCCAAAAATTCATACATAGATGTCCTCAAGTACACTTGGCCTCGTAGATAAAGATGTTGGTTAGATCCAGTGACTAGACCCAAAGATACCCAGCTACAGCAGTAGTGAACCAAAAACTTGGAGAGTTGAGTTAAAGGTAAATGACTGAGACATCTGGAAGAGGCAAAATAAGGGGTTTGATTTGAAATTTCAATCACCTGAAGAAAGTCAGAGCATACAAAATGTTGTGAATATGGCAATGAAGATGAGGATAACAGTCTGAATAATGTAAATAATTCAAGTAATCATATTACCTCATCTATGAAGATGAAGGGATCTAACAGTCTGAATATGAAGATGAGGATAACAGTCTGAATAATGTAAATAATTCAAGTAATCATATTACCTCATCTCGGAGATATAGACAACCATTATATCACTAGAAGCTAGTCACTGGATCTAACGAATCTCTTTATCCACTGGGCCATGTGTCCTTGTGACTATGACAATGAAGATGAGGATGACAGTGCAAATAATGTAAATAATCATAATACCTCATCTCAGAGATATAGATAGCCATTATATCACTAGAAGCTAGTCACTGGATCTAACCAACATCTTTATCCACTAGGCTATATGTCCCTGTGAATATAGCAATGAAGATGAGGATAACAGTCCGAATAATGTAAATAATGCATGAATTAGAAAATACAGGACATTTCTTGGCGGAACAGATAAGTTTTGCTGTGTCTCTTTGAATTCTGAAATTTGGTTTCTAAATAATTTTCAACCTGTCCCTGTAAAAAATATCCCTTCTCTTTCAATCTTATTTAGATTCTGTGTAAATGATTGATTAATTTATGTTTGAAAGAAAATGTAATTATTAGATTATCCAATCAAAGCAAGCCGTGAATGTCACTCATAAGGCAAAGAATAGATTAAATCACGAAATTCATATTAACACTAAAGAGGAATTCGATGATTGAACCATTAAATGTTGCAAGTTTTTCTTACCCATGATTTGTTTTAGCAAGTTTGAAAACTTTGTAAAATTGAAAATACAATTTCACTTTTCTTTATGATTGAAATAGAAAAAACATTTTGTGATATTTTCTTAATCAGCAAGGAGACATCATTGAATTTTCAGAAGATAATTTAACTAAATCTGACACTACTGGAAGCTGGCTGTGTGTTTATTGTGCATATGTATACACACAATTTACATAAATAAATAGTTAGGACAGACTGAAATAGATGTAAAGAGATTTTAATAAATGGGAAGAGACTATATTATGATTATTTACATTATTCGGACTTATCATCTTCATTGCCATATTACTGAATATGGCAATGACGATGTGGATAACAGTCTGAATAATGTAAATAATGTAAGTAATCATAATACCTCATCTCAGAGATATAGACAGCCCTAGAAGCTAGTCACTAGATTTTGCCAATTTCAATATCTGTCTATATCTCTGAGATGAGGTATTATGATTATTTACATTATTCAGACCGTTATCCTCATCTTCATTTGCCATATTCTAGGACACATGGCCCAGTGGATAAAGGCGTTGGTTAGATCCAGTGACTAGGCTCTAGTGATATAATAACTGTCTATAACTCTGAGATGAGGTATTATGATTATTTATTATTCAGACTGTTATCCTCATCTTCATTGCCATATTAATGAATATGGCAATGAAGATGAGGATAACAGTCCAAATAATGTAAATAATGCAAATAATGAGGATAACGGTCTGAATAATGTAAATAATGCAAGTAATCATAATACCTCATCACAGAGACATAGATATATTAGGGTAGGCTGAGATAGGTGTGAAAATACTGAGATAGATAGATAGATAGATAGATAGATAGATAGATAGATAGACATAGATTTTCATAACTATCTATGGTGAGATAAGATCAGACTAAACAGAGATAAGATCAGACTAAGATGGATAGATGGATATATATAGAGAGAGAATGATAGATAAGATCAAACTGAGATAGATATATACAGATATATAAATAGATAAATAGACAAGATCATATCGGGATGGAGACATAAGATAGACTTATATAGATAAGATGAGACAAAGGTAGACAGATGGATAGATAGATAAAATCACAGAGATAGACTGAAATAGATAGAGGACAAATTGAAATAAATGTAAAGACATAGATAGATAGATAGATAGATAGATAGATAATATCAGACAGGGATACATATATGGTTAGAGAAATAAGATCAGACTGAGATAGTTGGATGTATAGATAGATCAGATCAAACTGAAATGGATAGATGATCAGAAAGAGATAGAGAGATTAGATAAAAGGAGACAGATAGAGACAAAAGCAGATGAGAATAGATAAAAAATATGAACAGACTGAGATAGATAAGATCAGACTAAGATAGTTAATATCAGATAGGGATATATATATATATATATATATATATATATATATATATATATATATAGTTATAAGATAAGATTTGAGATAGTTGGATAGATAGATAAGATCATACTGAGACATATAACATCAGACTGTGTTAGATAAATAGATAGAGAGATTGATAAGATCAGACTGAGATAGTTGGATAGACAGATAAGATCATACTGAGATAGATAGATAGACAGATAAGATCAGACAGATATGATTAGATAGGGATACATATATGGTTAGATAGATAGATAAGATCAGACTGAGACAGCTAGCTAGCTAGACAAATGCAGACTGAGATAGATGGATAGATAGAAGCTCAAACTGAGATAGATATTTGTATGTATAGAGAGATAAGATCATACTGAGATAGACAAATGAAATCAAACATAGATCGATAAATAAGGTTGGAGTGAGATAGCTTAAAGAGATCAGACAGAGAAAGATAAGATCAGACTGTGATAGATGGACAGATAGATTTGATCAGACTGAGAGAGATAGATAGATTGAAAGATAGATGGAGAGATAGATAAGATGAGATTTTGATAGATGTGTATATAGAGAAAATCAGACATATTGATAGATAGACATATCTAGATTGATAGACAAGGTAAGACTGAGATAGATAGATAGATAGATAGATAAGATCAGATTGAGATAGATGGACAGATAGATTTGATCAGACTGAGAGAGATAAGGTTACACTGAGAGATATAGATGGAAATACAGATATGAACAGACTGAGATAGATAGATAGATTGAAAGATAGATGGAGAGATAGATAAGATGAGACTTTGATAGATGTGTATATAGAGAAAATCAGACATATTGATAGATAAATAGACATATCTAGATTGATAGACAAGCTCAGACTGAGATAGATAGATAGATAGATAGATAAGATCAGATTGAGATAGATAAGATCAGACAAAGATAGATAAGAACAGACTGTGATAGATGTGACAGATGAGAGATCAGACTGAGAGATATAGATGGAGTGATGGATACAAACAGACTGAGATAGACAGATGGAGAGATAGATGAGACTAAGATAGGTCAGGTTGAGACAGATAGACAAGATCATAGTAGGATGAGAGATATGATCAGACTGATGTAGATAGTTGGATAGATAAAAAGATCAGACAGATTGACAGATGGATAGATTATGGATAAGATCAGACAAAGATAGATGGATAGATAGATAAAAACAAACTGTGATAGATTTATAGATAGATAAGGTCAGACAGAGATATGTGGATACAGAAATAAGAACAGACTTAGATATGTAGATAGATTTGATGAGACTGACACAGATAAAATGAGACTGAGAGAGATAGATGGAAAGATAGATACAAAATGAATGAGATAAGATGAGACTGAGATACACAGATGTATAGATAGAGACATATAGATAGGTAAATAGACAAGATCATAATGGGATGGATAAGACCAGATGGAGATAGATAAGATGAGACAGATGGATAGACAAAGATCAGACTTAGATAAGATGAGACTGAGATAGATGGAAAGATGGATAAGATGAGACTGATAAAGATCAGATAGATGGATTGAGAAGCAGATGAAGACAATCACATTGAGGTAGACAGATGGATAGATAAGATCAGACTGAAATAGACAAAAGATGCATAGATAAAATGAAACTGAGATAAGATAGATAAGATCAGACTGAGATATATGGATAGATAGTTAAGATGAGACAGATAAAATCATACTGATAGATAAGGTCAGATAAATAGATGGTTAGATAGATAAGATTAGACTGAAATAGATGGTTAGATAGATAAGATCAGACTTAGATGACTAGATAGATAAAATCAGACTCAGATAGATGGATGAAAAGATAGATAAGATGAGACAGATAGAAGGATAGATAGATGACATCAGATAGATGGATAGGTATCAGGTCATCCCATAAGTTGTCCGAATTTTAACATTTTGTTAAAATGAACGAAATTTAAAGAGTATTTTATAATGTCTAATGGAGCTGAACATTATTTTCATGTTTAGATGCATTTAAACTGATCAAATTTTATTTCAGAGAACTTAAAATTAAATTTTGTTTGATTAAAACCCTGCTAACATGGAAGTACCCAAGAATCATTTGAAGCACATAATGCTTTATGAGTTCAAAAAAGGAAACTCAGCAGTCGAAGCGGCTAGAAACATTCACTCAGTTTATGGAGAGGAATGTGTGAATGAAAGAACTTGCAGAAGATGGTTTGCAAAATTCAGAGGTGGAGATTTCACCCTTAAAGATGAAGATCGAACCGGATGTCCAGTTGAGTTTGATGAAAAGCTTCTTGAAGAAAATCCTGCTTTATCAGTTGAGAAATTGGCAGTGGTTCTCAGTTCAAACCATACAAGTGTTCATCCTCATCTTCAACAACTTGGAAAAGTTCCTAAACTTGGAAAATGGGTGCCTCATGAATTGTCTGAAAACAACCTCAAATCCCGAGTTGGCATCTGCTCTTCTCTCCATTCTTGCCAACGTGTTTCACCTTTTTTGGATAGACTTGTGACTGGCAATGAAAAATGGATCTTTTATCAAAATGTTAAGCATCGTAGACAGTGGCTTGGTAAAGGGGAAGGACCCCAGCCACAGCCAAGAAGGGAACCATGGGCAAAAGATTCTTCTTTCAATCTGGTGGGATCGCCAAGGAATAATCCACTTTGAATTCAGCAAGAATCACGTCACAAAAGATTGAAGAACTTGGTTGGGAGCAAATTCCTCATCCACCTTATTCTCCTGATCTTGCTCCTTCAGACTACCATTTGTTTTGTAGCTTACAGAATCCTTTGGAAGAAACAGCTTTTGTAACACAGGAAGAGGTTAAAACTGACATTTGTGAGTTTTTCAAATCAAAGCCAAAAGAATTTTACAGTAATGGAATTAGTAAGCTTGTTAATAGATGGAAGGAAGTCATAGATAATCAGGGAAAATACATTGTTGATTGAATCTGTAATTAAATGTAACATTTGGTGACTTGTTTTCTTTATTCAAAATTCAGGCAGAACTTATGGGATGACCTGACAAATAACATGAGACTGATACAGATGGATAGATAGGTAAGATCTGACTGGGATAAATGTATAGATAAATATATAAGTTCAGACAGAAATAGATAGATGGAGATATAGATAAGATCAGACTGAGATAGATAGATAACATTGTGATAGAAAGATGGATAGATAGATAAAATCAGAGTGAGATAGATAAGATGAAAACATGAGATAGGTAAAAATCACGCTGAGATTGATTGATGGATAGATAAAAAAGACTGAGGTAGATAGATAAAATCAGAATGAGATAGATGGATAGATAGATAGATAAGATTAGAATGAGATAGATAAGGTTAGACTTAGAGCAATAAGATGAAATTGAGGCAGATAAAATCAGATTGGAATAGATGGAGAGATAGATAAGTTGGCACAGATGGTAGATAAGATCAGATAGATGGATAGATAGATAAGATCTGAGATAGATCGATGGATAGATAATATCAGACTGAGATAGATGTATAGATAAAATTAGACTGTGATAGCTAGAAACAAGTTGCGATAGATATAAAGATATAGAGACTGAGAATAGTGACAAAAAGGCCATTTTATTGTTATAGTTTCTTTGTGTAATAATAGTATTAACATTATCAGTAGGAGTGCTATGAAAACAAAAAGAAAATATAATTGTACTTGCTACGACAACACAGAATTATTTTCAAAGTAATAATAGAATTCCACTTTGACATTTTGGTCTTGTGGTGAGTAACTGAAGCATTGGTATTTTCATTTGGGTGACATGTTAAAATCCTAGCATTTTCCCCCACCCCACAGCCAAAAATAATAATATGTAGAAAAGAACAAAAGAAAAAACATTCACAAAAGTTCACCTGTACTGAAGGAATGTTTTATTGTGGACGGTTTTTGTAGCTGCATTGAAGAGAATTGTTAAATGTAATTCTTTCTGACATAAGGTCTTCTGAGATTTAGAAATATTTTAGACAAGAAAAACAAGTTTGTTATATATATATATATATATATATATATATATATATATATATATATATAGATATATATGAGAGAGAGAGAAAGATGTGTGATATATATGTATATATTTAAGCATCAGTTTTACATTAATATATGTTACATTAAAGATTAAAGACAGCAGACAAGGAATGGTTTGTTTTGTTTTTTCATGTCTTTCCATTTTTTAAATTTTAGTTCAGTTTAGCGTTTATTTTCAGTTTGAAACTTGGAATTTTTAGTTTTGACTTTTTAATTTATTTATTTTAATCCTCTGAATCCAGACATGAATTGTCTTTGTATGTAAACAGGAAAGTTAACTAAAAATGGACTAAAGCATTATTTGTATATCATATTTGATGAAAATTATATATATATATATATATATAAAAATGGTGGATGAAAAGTACTCAGCCTTGCTAAGTAGTTCTTCAGAGATAATTAGATTTGGGGATAAAATTTGGTTAGTGGGTCAAGCTGAAAACTTTGCAGCACTACCTTATGTGTGTGTGTGTGTGTATTGTGGTTGTGCATATATATATATATATATATATATATATATATAACAGAAAAGCCATCAAAATTAGCTACTCCTGCACCAGAAGCATGCAGAACATTATTATTAATACACACAACAGCCAAATATTAAAAGTATCCTAAAACAGCAAGGCTAAAACCATCTTGTAACTGCAAAGTTGGGACCATTTGCCCAGTTGAAGGCACCTGTAATTTGGAAAACCTGGTATAACAGGCTACCTTTTTCATGAGAGAAAACACCAAGGACATAAAGATATACATAGGAATATCCACTGGAAATTGGAAACAAAGACTATACACCCATTGACATTCCTTCCCAAATATCAACCTGAGAAACCAAACCACTCTATTCAAGCATTATTAGAAAATTAAGGATAATAACCTCACCCCAATAATCAAATGGGAAATCATGGTCCAGAACCCCTAACAACTTCTGGGCAGATGCAATCTGTGTATACTGGAAAAAAATTGCAATAATCAAGTACATATACTAAACAATTATTAAACCAACAAAATGAGCTTATTTTCAAGTGTAGACATAAAAACAAATTTAAAATCTCCTCGAAACACTTATCACATGGATTCTGGGAGGATGACATGTGAAGTGGTGGTTTGTTGGTAAGGATAGTAGCACATATGGGAGTACACTCATGTGTTGATATGTAGATTTGGACATGTATGTGTATGTCTGTAGATGCATATGTGATATTAAATATTACACGACCTGGTAATTTTTTGCAAAATTCTAGATATATGATTGGGCTATAAGTGTCTTGCCAATGTACACCTTACCCATGTTTCCAAACTAACACATCTTATAGCATTTCCATACTCCATAACTTTTACTCTTTTTCCTTAAGTTTGGTATTTGTTTTTGAATTTCTATTCACCTCTTAATTCTCTACAGTTATTTGCTGTATCCACCTATTGTATCTGACAATATTATTGTGATTTCTAATTACTATTTGTACTAGGGACTACTTCATAACAATCAACCCACCCATTTACATAGTTCCAAAAATTAAGAAATATCTAGGCAGGTCAGACTGCTAATGCTATCACTATCCTACCTATTCCTTCTCACCCTCTTCTTCCCCAAGCCTCCCACTCCTTCTATATCTCCCTCTTGCGTTCACCGCAACTCAATGTCTCCACTGACTATCAAACTTCAACCTAAAAACAAATGCTTAAGTATTACTATATTAATACCAAACTTTATTTAGATTAAGATCCCTTTAATTAAATTAATTTGAATCAACCTGATTTATCCTGCATAAAAACAGCAAACATACAACCCAATATTAAAATCTAAAATGTATAGAGTAAATTCTTGGCTGAGGAAACTGACTACTACTAACCACTAAACCCTTAACCCTATCTTTACCCATCTCTTCTCTCTCACCTTCCCTCCCCACTACCAATTTAATGTGTCCATCCAGTGTACTTTCTCCATTTGTGGAGGAGGAGTTGAACATCTTGGCGTTCAAGAAATAAAAATTATAAACAAAATGGATAATTAAAGTCTCCATCTTCTTCTTATTATATACATGAAAAGATGTGTTCTCCAAGAGGAATCAGACTTGTATTCCTATACAGAAACTGTCATTTGATCTGACATGCTTTACCATTTAGCTACAGACAAGCATCTCATCAGCAAAGTTCAATATATAATTAATACTGTTTAATTAAAAACAGTATTTACTTAAACAAATTGCATCTATAAAAATGTATAAATGGAAAATATATATATATATATTATTATTATTATTATTATTATAATATTTTCATTATATGAGATTATAATGAAAACATTTTACATTACTACACAAAAGCTTTTATGTTTCAATGATTGTACTTCCCCAGGTGATGGTTGGTAACTGGTGATAAAATAATTTTTTAGGGAAATTTAAAAACAAAACATTACCTCTTTTTCGAAAGTTAAATGTAGGGGTGGCATAAGGTCAGAGTTAAAAATATACTTATGGGTATGTCTCAATTAACCAATTGAAAGTCAAATTTATGTTAAATAGAAAAATAAGGTCAGAAGGTGGAGGTGGGTGAGTTATTTTTCATGTCACGATAAACCGGCACTTAGAAATGTCATCCTTGATGATTGTGGAGAATATGACAGTGACAGATGTATCTTGGATGTAGCCAAATATGACATTCTATTTGTTGAAGTAGTCGGGGAGGTTAATCAGATATAAAGTTATCAGAAACTAATTTAAAAAACAAAATATATATATATATATATATATATATATATGAAAGAAGAAAAAGTGTGTCTATACCCTATCCTTATATAAATGCATACATCTTCATAT